TAAGAAGCACGGCTGTGCAACTTCTCTCGCGTGCCGGATTGGAAACAAGAGAGATTATGACTGTGACCAGACATAGATGTGACTTACTGGACTCCGACCACCGCTGACAGACAGAAATGGAGCAGTATACTCTCATCAAATCCTGACAACAGCTTGGCAAGCAGTAAGTGTTCGTATTAAATATAATATTTATCATAAAATTCAATCACCAACATAGTTTAATGATAAGTGTGATTTTAGGTGCAGTCAACAAAAAGTCAGTAGAGAAAACTTTCGCTGACTCTACCAAAAACATCAACTTCAACATCCCCGCTGGGACCACATTTACAATGTCACAGTTCACAATTAATGGAAATGTGCAATTTAATACTTGTAAATAAATAAAATACATACGTTATCATATAATCATATGTAGATGTTATAAATTGTCTTAAATTTCTATAAATTTCTGCGATAACTACCTGCTGCCTGTACATTATCCCTTACTTAAACACCTCTATAGGACCAGTATAACCAGTACAATGCAGTTTTCCTATTACCAAAAAAATGATTACAATCAATATCTTTTTACTGACAGGGCTGCTTCAGTTTTCTGCCTTTTCTGCTTCAGTTTAATAGGCCTCTTGTTAGATATATTTACAGGATTAGTAAAAGTATAAGCCATTTTTACCACTATAAACACCTCTATAGGACCAGTATAATGCAGTTTACCCATTGTCAAAAAGGTTAGGCTATATACAGTATATAAAGGCACTTGTTAATGTAATGGGCAGCTCCCTCTAGTGGATGACATGTAGTAAAACTTCCTCTTGTGAACATGTTTACATACATTTGGATGTTTCATTTAGTCATGGCTTCCAAGCGAAGTTAGTGTTCTCAACTTAGCATCTCAAGTTCCTGTTACCTTAGGTTGACCAGATAATCCATATCACGGAGGACAATTTGAGGTAGCACAGGGTTTGTACACTACCATTTCAATTGCAGTGGTACCTCAGTTCTCGAACTCATTAGAAGTCAAATTTCTTAAAAGTCGAACCAACCAGTTCGAAAAAAAAACATGTAAATCTCGATCTGAATCTCAGAAGTCTCTAAACAGATTAAGCAGGAAAAAATAGGCAACTTTGACAAGGGCCAAATTGTGATGGCTAGATGCTGGGTCAGAGCATCTCCAAAATGGCAGGTCTTGTAGGGTGTTCCTGGTATGCAGTGGTCAGTACCGAACAAAAGTGGTCCAAGAGAGTCCAACTGGTGAGCGAGTGACGAACTCATGGGCGCTCACGGCTCACTGATGCACATGGGGAGCGAAGGCCAGCCTGTCTGGTCCAATCCCACAGGAGAGCTACGGCAGCCAGCATTAACTTTTCAACAATTTGGGCTAAAACAGAAAGGTATCAGAACACACAGAGCATCACAGTTTGCCCATGCCAACCCCTGTCTGCTGCTGAAAGTGACTACAATGGACACTTGAGCGTCAGAACTATACAATCCGTTCTAACACGATTGATTTATAAGCACCCAAGTCCAATATATCGTGCACAGCACTTGTATTTGAGCGATTTTCAATCGGAGAGAAAAGCACTATGCGAAACTGCACCCTGTGATATGGCCTTAGTGAGGAACACGAAGTGAACCGATAGTGATCTCCAATTCGAAAACGGATTGTTCTGTTGAGCCGGTTCTATTCAGTGAATTGGTCGAAACGGTTTTCAAATCTAAAAAAAATCAAACTTTTTTTATATCCAGAAATTCAACGGGTCAAACTGTCACATCCCGACCACGCGCCCGACCAACGGAGCTTAGTACCTAATGGGCGGAACCGCTTACACCTGGAGAGGCGACATTAAAAGGATTCACCCCACACTCCCCGACGCCAGGTATTGTTGATTATCATGCGACGTACTGAGCATTTCTCGCTGTCTCCCTTGCAGCCCTAGCCCTGTCCCCCCGTGTTGGTCCCGTTTCTCCCCGCTTCCCCGGATCCCGCCGGTGTCCACCTGTCCCACGTCTGGTGATCCCCCTTGGCTTGACTTCCTCGGCTTCTCCGACCTCTTGCTTCGTGCCCCGTTTACGCCTCCGGATCGCTCCCTCCAACTCTGTTCGCCTGTTTCGGAATAAAGTCCCTTCCCACGAAAGTCCCCGATCTCCCGTGTGCTCTGTCCCGTGACGCAAACTCTTAGATTCTAAAAATGTAAAAATATTTGACAAATTAGTATGTAAAACACACAGCTAGTTTCTTCTTCTTTTTCTATTATTATTCATTGTGATAGCCTATTTATTGTCCACTGGTAGCACTTTTTTGAATCTTTATTTCATTTGTTTGGGAGTCCCTTTCCTGTAACCTACAGATCTGTATTTTGCCGATTGCAGATATTTATGACGTAATTAATGCATCCCAGGGCCGGAAGCCCACACCAGAGCCACCATCAGTGGAGGACAGCGGAGAGGGAGAGGTGCCTCCCCCTCCTGCTGAGAAACCCCGGACAGGTGCAGCGCGTCCTCAAGCCGCTCCTGCCAGCACGGAGGCAACGGCGGCTAATGAGAGAAGCGGACTTAGCGGCGAGCTGCGGCCACTCACTGGCTATCGAGGACTCGCGACCCCAGCTGTGTCCTCCGCTTCGAGCACGAGCAGCAGAGGCAGCAGGCAGAGGGTACTCTGCATGAGCGTGAGGAGGCATGCCACGGATGGGAGACCTGGCCTCGTGAGAACCAGCCTGGCGATCAACAACCGTCCTCCCACAAAGTCAACATTGCACGTTGTCAGTGTTGAAATGGAGCTGGAAATTTTTGCCAATGTGCTATTAAGAATGTATGTTTGTATTTGCATATTCTTGACACAGAAAACTGTTTAAAACTGTTCATTTCCTTTATCTGTATGGATTTTCCTATAATTCAGTATTAGGGCCACATTGAGGACAAAAAAATAGAGATTGTGGGAATAAAGTCATAATTTTATTTTTAAATGTTATTTTAAAGGGGAGATATTACAGTTGGCAGTTTCAGGACTGAAGTATAGAGGCAGGAACAAACCAGTCAATGATAGCAGAATACATGGCGTTTATCTTATGATGTCAATGATTTTAATTGGCTACATTATTATTATTTTAATGTTTAAATATGTATAAAATGTATAAAATGATTTCAGTTTGTGTATCAGCACTTTTTGAACATTTTAACCTCATATTAGGGACATGGCAATAAAACTGATAACCATGATAATTTTGGTCATGATAATCGTAATGTAAAATTTTCATACAATTTTTCATACAAAAATGCTGTGCAAGCTCAGACATCTGAGGTACAGGTCAGTAAGGATCGGGTTGTGACAGACACCCCCACAAAGACCCACCTACCCAAATCATGTCAAAAATAGGCCAGATAGTGGGACGCAAAGAAAAATGCAGTGCAAAGGGAAAAAATATTGCAAAGCACAACACATGTACCGTAATGAAAAACAAGTGATACATCAAGAAAAAAAGAACTATCACAATTTGGCAAAGAAAAAAAATCGAATACATCAATTTTGTTTGCAATATATAGGCTACTTTTGTTTATGATACAGTACACATATTTAACATGTGGATGTAATTTGACTCCATACATTTAATTTTGGAACAACCCAGCTACTTGAAATATTTGTTTTTGCATATCAGATATACGATTTTTTCCCCCATCCATGTCTTTGTACGTTTTGGTCAATTTGTAATTTGCAATTTTTTTTTGGTTCATGTGAAACCATGGTTCTGTCACGCGCACAAGGGCGGGGCAACAACGTGACAGACAATCAATGCTTAATCGACACGTTACTTAATACGGATGCAATCTCCCAGACGTTGCGAAGTATTGTTGCCATGCGAATGACACTTACCGAGCACTTCTTTGTCTCCTGTCTTCCCCGCTTGTCTTGCCTGCCCCGTTTTGCCCTGTCGTCTCGCCTGCTCTGCTTGTGTCAACGCTCCTGCTTCCCTGCCTGTGCCTGCCTTCCCGGTCCTACCGCCCCGGCCTGTCTTCATCGCTCCTCCCGTTCCTTCGTCTCCTTGTCCCACCATTTCCTGTAGGACTGACTAACTCAGCTTTGGACCCATCGCGATCTACCCGACTTCCCCTTTGGATTATCCCTTTGGCTTTGACTGCACCCGGCTTTCTAAATAAACGTCCCGTCTCCTGGGGTTCGCCTCTTCTTTGTCAGCGGAGCGTATCAGGTTCAGCAGAGGACCAAAAATATGTTATACAATGTTGTATTTTGAATATAAGCATTTACCAGAACAATCTAATTGTGAAACACTTGAAAAATAGTTTACATTTTAAGCACTTGGATAATTAGATTTTTATTAATGTGATATTGTTATGCTCAGCAGAGATGTTTTCCAGCTGGGAAACATTGATGTGAATAAATAAAACCATAATTCTGACTTTCTGTCCTGACTTTTAAAAAGTATTTTATATCAATTTTAATAATATTGATATACAGTGGAGATCAAAATTAGAGAACAAGTGATATTTTAGGAATTTACAAAGTCACTGCTTGAATTCTAAGTTATTCTAACCTGAATAGATGAGAGATTTTAACTGTATTTCATCAATGACAAGTATTGCATATCACAAAATATAAAATTTGCACTAGAAATTCAATCAATGTCTGCGATCAAAATTAAAGAACGATTTGTTGTACTTGACAGTTTTTGGTTCTAATCTGAAATATTTTGAAATACCTGGCAACCCCAATCTATTCAACAACATTGGCAGGCATTTTGCAAGATGCTGGACCTCTCCAAGGTACCTGAAACCCTGTGATGTCAGGTTGTTCAGATGAAGGCTGATGGGACGACCCCCTTAGCCACTGGAAGAGAAGTTAGTCGTTCCAATAGCTTAATTTCTCAAACATTCAAGCTGTACATAGAAACTAAGTCATTCAAGTCCCAAAAGGCCAGTTCCCCACACAAGATGAGTACACAAGTGAAGAGGATGATGGGGAGAGTCTTAGTGGGGGATCAGTTCAACACCACAGCTGGAATCGCTCACCAAATCAGCTCTGGGCAGGAATTTGTCTTGACAGGGTCTCGTCATCTGGGACAATATGGACTGAAAGCCTACTCCGTGATGACCAAGCTGTTCATCAGCAAGAAGAATGAAGAGGCTAGACTAGACCTTTGCTGAGGAGCATGTTGTGTGAACAGAGGAGAACTGGTCCAAAGTTGAATTGGGGAAAGACTCCACCAAGTGTGTGAAGAAGTCAGTTAAGTTCAGAGGGGTACGTGTCACGGTGGGCATGTTCCCGGCTGCAGGAGTCGGGCCTCTCATACGGCTCCATGGTAAGGTGAACACTGATGAATATCAGAATCTCCTTTAGCAACATGAGGATCCTTCTCAACAAGCCTCACCCAGTCAGCCAGTCATTTTTATACAAGACAATGCCCATTACCACACTGCAAAATGGATGAAGCAATTACTCAAAGCTGGGAACATCTAGGAGATGAAAAGACCAGCCCAGACTCCAAATCTGAACCCTATGAAGAATCTCTGCAAGGTAACTGGTGACAAAATTATGGCAAACAAACCCACCACAGTTTCTGAATTGTCTCAGATGGCATTGATGTGCCAGTCATTGAAAGAAAGAGCCTTCCTATTAATTTCTCAAAGTTGTAACCATCAAAAAAAGTTGAGAATTGAGTTGAGAATTCAAAAGGAAAAAATTGTAACCGTTCTCATTTTTATCGCCGACTTTCTTGAAATTTCTTGTTGAAACTGGATTTTGCCTTCCCTGCCAAATCAGAAGTCAGAAGCCACTCATGTAGATCCAAATTCAGTCTTTATTGCAACAATGAAGTTACAAGCAAGGTCAGACACTTGCAAGTGTGTCCAATACTGTTTTACACCAATTTTTATACAAGTTCTTATCATTTAACAATATCTTGTCACTTGAGCATCATCATTCCTTCAACCATTCACAATCATTGTTTTTTCCCTTAATCCACACCCCTAGGTGATAAGTTTGTCCATCATTTCTTTTACTGTTTGGTCCCTCGGCCGAACATAATGGTGGCTCGACCATTTTAAAAATGCTCAGCCGTGAACTTTTGGTGAACTCAGACGAATCATTTCCTTCAGTAGCAAACCTTGGCAGATTGAGCCTGTTGCACATTGTCTAACTAAAGGGTTGATAATATATTTGTCCTTCAACATAGTGATAATAAAGGTGGATATTCATACATTCAGGACTAAAATAAAGTAGCTAACAAAAACTCTTAGGCTAACACGAGGTGCAAATACATACTAAATTGATTGCATTGTGTTGATTACATTATAATGATTACATTGTAATGATTACATCATGGGTATTTGGCATGCTTTTTAATAATACCATAATGATTATATTCTAGTTATATAGTGCTGAATAATATTCCATAAAACCATTTATTTTTTAATGCGGCATAGGTTTTGCTGATGGAATATGATTAAAATACATCTCCTCTATTCACGTTAGAATATCTATTAATTCAGAGAAGCTGCATCTTTGTGAATTACAAAAATGTGTCTTTTTCTTTAATTTGATCGCCACTGTATGTCGAATATCTATACAGTGACCTAAAATATCAAGGTATTGTTTTTCAGCCATACAGTATCACCCAGCCATAGCTGTTGGTGCAATTACTTGACATTTAGAGTTACAGGTTATGATAATAAAGATGATTAATCGTGAGATGAAGAATAATCATGGGATTTGTGCACGTCCTCTGAGGTGAGAGATGGACAGTGTTGTATGCCTTCATATATTTCGTTATACTGCATGTTTTTTTTCTTACTACGGGCTTTTTTCATCTGAGGAGAAAGAAAACGGGATATGATGTCATACAGACACAACTAGAAGTGTCAAATATAAAATGTAAACACACAACTACACAGAGTTGGAGTAACAATTGTGACCTTGGTTCATCATTTTGGGGTTTGATAATACTGATCAAAAAATATTGCACGGATCTTTTTTAGAAATCCAATATTTTAATCATTGGTTACCACATGCTTGTGGTCAAACTAACACACACAGACACATCCCAAAATTACAAAAAGCACACTCACCTTAGGGCCCAGACAGATGAGAAGGATGACGACATTCAACAAGACTACAGAGCCAGCACAGATGGTAATGATGACCCTCAGGCTGGTCATAGGGAGGTGACACGGAGGAGTCGGCACTGGTTCGGCAGGTGGACACGGCTTCAGGTCAGCTGTGTCACATCATCAGATTGTCAAGACATATCACCTGCTCCTGGGTCTCACCATGTCCATGATTAGTAATGGTGCTTTGAGCAGCACGGTTTGAATAGTGTTCCACTACCATTCTGTACAAGTGATCCCATATCCTGTACATGCTTTGACTATGAAAAGAATAACGATCTGTCAGCACTTACCATTTACTACAACCAGAGTATAGTTGCTGGTGAACTTCATCAGATGTAGGTCCTGAATCATATTGTATGAGCACCAGTAGAGACCAGAGTCATCATCTGTTACGTTAGTAATAGTGACTGAGAGATTGACCATCTCTCCCTCTGTCTTCACTCTATCTACATACTCATCTTCAGGTGTGCATTTCGGAGGGTTCCTGAAATAATAGAGCACTTTCTTCTCAGACTCCATCCTTTGGTACAAATGCAGTGACGTGGCATTTTTGGTCGTCGAACATTTGACAGTAATTGACTTTCCTTCCTCTGCTGTCACAATCCTGGCGTTCTCTGAAGGTTAGAAAAGATAAAACATTGTGGTTTAAAAAAGGAGCTACAATGCAGAATTACTAATTATTGTATTTATTTATACTCAACACTCTCTCCAACAATTCTGACATTATGGTTCTCATTGTAATTTTACAGTGACACTGAAATTTAGGCTATACAAATAAGATTAATACTTTATTGGATTCACTGCATCTGGAAGATCTCTCTAGGCAGAACCCCCACAACTAGCAGCACCTAAATGCTGGACTCCGATGTCTTGAGGTTGATTTATGTTGCAATTACGCAAGTTTAAATTTAAGGATCTGCACTCAGAATTTCCATTTCTGTATCATACAAAACATGGGGTTGTACCTGGTTAAGGACAGACAAAATTGGGTTTTACCTTTAGTTCTCTAATCTCTTAAGAGGCAGATAATGACAATACTAAATACTTTTATCCTGAGTATGTATGTAATAAGAAAGCAGTGGTGGAATGTAATAAAGTATTTGTACTTCGTTACTGTACTTAAGTACATTTTTACGTATCTGTACTTTACTTAAGTAAAAATAATAATGCATACTTTTTTTATTTTACTCCATTACATTGTGTGGGAACTATCTGTACTTTCTACTCCACTACATTTCTACAATTTATGCCGTTAGTCGTTACATTTTATGAACACAATTTCCTCAAAATCTTGCATGAAAAAATAGTTAGCCTATTGCGTTCTGGCGTTTCCTACCAATCAGGTGGCTTTATTAGCTCCAGTGATGGCAGAGCGTCATATTCATACTGCCATATTCTTGAGAGCGTCACCCCACCACTAGTGTTTGGTTACTGTTGTGTTTCCCTTTTATTGCTCTTAACAGATGTGTTGAATAGTTTTGCAAGTACATAAATGATTTAAAGATATATCATGTCCTGATTGGTTTATCTTAATGGTATATTAGTGGGTAATACCTAGTAGATAACTTGTTATCCACATAATTCTAAGTTAGGGTACACACAGTATTGCAGAGTACATGCACAATAAGCACAGCAAACTTTCCAATACACATATACTGTATAGTTGCTTGTAATTATCACGAGCAATGACATCGGTAGAGGCGTAAGTCAGTATATCTACTATTCTTTTACAAAATGGCGCACCCCAGACATTGAGACAAACCATTGTGTGAGTACTTTTACTTAAAAAAATACTTTAAAGTAAATTTAAAAGTACTTAGTGTCACGCCCAGCCCTGCATTCCTCATGTGTGCCACGCCCCTAATTACCCATGTGTGGAATCTGTGCTTCTCTCAAGCTGTTTTGTGTTTCTTGATTAGTTTCTTAGTATTTAAGTCCGTGTCTTACCTTTACTTGCCAGACTTGTCATTAATGTTAGTTAAGTTCGTGTCTTGTTAGTTTATGTCTTGAGCTTAGTTTTC